GATGGAAGAGGAATAGATATTCACAAGCAGATTGGTAAATTACCAAAACCAAAAGGTGGATGGACCTTACCAGGGCATAAATATACAGGTCCTTATAACGATCTCGAAAACCAAGTAAGATACAATCCGGAAACTAGTGAAATATTAGAAATTTATGATCAACCAACAGGACCAACTGATGCCGTGGCCATGCAACATGATGTTGATTATAGTGTTTGTGGTGATGACCGAAAGTGTAAAAATAAAGCTGATAAAAAAATGGTAAAATCGTTAGATGCAATTCCTTGGAAAGAAAGACAATGGGGTCATACTTTAGCCAGAACAATAATTAATACTAAACAAAAACTTGGAATGGGAACAAAAAACGTAAAACGGCGTTGAGTAGTGATTGGTCTCAACAATTAGCCGACGAACTTCACAAACCAATCAGAAGAAACTATCAAAAAAGATCAGTAGTCTCAAACGGAATTGATGATATCTGGGCTGCTGATTTGGTTGAAATGCAAAAGTTTAGTAAGTGGAATAAAGGGATTAAATATCTTCTAATGGTAATAGATGTGTTTAGTAAGTATGGTTGGATTAGGGGATTGAAAGATAAGAAAACTGAAACTGTTAGTAAAGCATTTGGGGATGTATTTAAGAGTAAACGTAAACCAAAGATGTTATGGACTGATAAAGGTTCTGAGTTTATCAGTAAACATTTCAAAGACTTTCTGAAAAGAGAGGGAATTAAACTGTATAACACTGAAAATGAAGAAAAATCCAGTATTGTTGAGCGATGGAATAAAACAATGAAAAACAGAATGTGGAAGATGTTTACTGTGAATAACAACACTGTTTATTGGGATAAGATAGATAAACTGGTTGATGACTACAATAATGCAAGACACTCTAGCATTAAAATGACTCCTGTTGAAGCTAGTAAAAAGAAGAATGAAAGTAAAGTTTGGTCTAATTTATACGGTGATTCTATTTACTTGAAACCTGGTAAACCAAAGTTTTCTATTGGAGATAAAGTTAGAATTTCAAAATATAAGAGAGAGGTATTTGATAAAGGTTACACACCAAACTGGACAGAGGAGATATTTGTAATTGATAAAGTTCTTCCAGCAAAACCTGTTACGTATAACATCACTGATTTGATGGGAGAAGAAATTAAGGGTTCTTTTTACGAACAAGAATTACAGAAAGCAAAACAGCAAACATTTAGAATAGAAAAAGTTATTAGGAGAGATAATAAAAAGAAAATGGCACTAGTAAAATAGAGTGGATATCCTGATAAATTTAACTCATGGGTGAGTTCTAAGGATTTGGTTTATTTTTAATACAAATAATGTATTAAAAATAAATCCTATAATTACTCAGTTTCTTCTTTATCAGAAATAACTAAGTCTTCAACTACTTGCTCACTATCATCTTCCTCTTCCTCTTCCTCTTCAATTGTTAGTAAAGACTCCCTAGGTTTTAATGGTTTGACAAAGCACTCATGTACTTTTATTTGTAAAGATGTTACAGTCTTACTAATAAATATTCCTTCTATTATAAGTGCCATTTTAACATTGCACTACTGATCAATATATTTAAAAGGATTTAAATCTTTCTTTCCTTTTGTTTTAAATAGTGAAAGAATTTTCTTTGACTTTTCAGAGTAAATAAGTTTTGCATAAAGAACTGGTGCGGATGAGGGGTCTATTCTTGTTTTCTTCTTTCCTTTCTTATCTGTATATTCTTCCTGTTTGTAATAAAATGGTGAAGATAGAGTTGATGCTAGATCTGCACCGTATTCATTCTCTAGNTTCTTTTTACGAACAAGAATTACAGAAAGCAAAACAGCAAACATTTAGAATAGAAAAAGTTATTAGGAGAGATAATAAAAAGAAAATGGCACTAGTAAAATAGAGTGGATATCCTGATAAATTTAACTCATGGGTGAGTTCTAAGGATTTGGTTTATTTTTAATACAAATAATGTATTAAAAATAAATCCTATAATTACTCAGTTTCTTCTTTATCAGAAATAACTAAGTCTTCAACTACTTGCTCACTATCATCTTCCTCTTCCTCTTCCTCTTCAATTGTTAGTAAAGACTCCCTAGGTTTTAATGGTTTGACAAAGCACTCATGTACTTTTATTTGTAAAGATGTTACAGTCTTACTAATAAATATTCCTTCTATTATAAGTGCCATTTTAACATTGCACTACTGATCAATATATTTAAAAGGATTTAAATCTTTCTTTCCTTTTGTTTTAAATAGTGAAAGAATTTTCTTTGACTTTTCAGAGTAAATAAGTTTTGCATAAAGAACTGGTGCGGATGAGGGGTCTATTCTTGTTTTCTTCTTTCCTTTCTTATCTGTATATTCTTCCTGTTTGTAATAAAATGGTGAAGATAGAGTTGATGCTAGATCTGCACCGTATTCATTCTCTAGATATTGCTGAGAGATATTTGTTATATTGTTAATAACATCAAAAAATGCTTTTTCTTTAGTATTCGGTTCACTGTCTTTAACCCAAAGACATACTGGAATACTATAACCGACTAACTTGTTTGTTTCTTGGTTCTTCTTCTCACTCACACCAAAAGAGAAAAGAATTGGAGTTTCAACAACCAAAGCTCCTTTCTTTCCATTTGGATATTTGACTTCAATTGGGATACGTTTGTATTTGATCTTGCTATCTTTCACTTTGTACTCTTTGGCTTCATTAAAGATAATGTTGTCTGGGGTTAGATGATCGTAACTTGATAACTGCATTTTTATTATAATAATTTAATCCTTAAGCCATAATTTATTTTTTTGGCCAGAGTAGTACTCGATTCAGGATTAGTATAAGTTAACTCTCCCTGTTTATTTTTAATCTTTGTCGCTCGAGCAAGATACCTCTCTCTTCGATCTTTGTCTTGATGAATAAGATAGTCTGGATAATTTGGTGATCCAAAATGAATTTTCTTTCCACCTGGGAGTGTTGCCATGTATTTGTTTTTTTTACGTGTTGAATAATCAAGTGAATCAGCACCGAGTTTTTTTAGCTTTTCTGGTTAGTTTTTTAAACTCTTTACCAGTAACAACATATTTATCATCATCTGACGAGGAGGAATCTTTAGGTTCATATGTTGGATCCTCATCATGATTATAACCATCATCAACTATAAAATCTAAGTCTTCTTTTGTAGGAATATCTTTTTTGGATTCCATTTTAGTATTTGATTAGATTATTTTTGTTGGGAAATTCCCTAATTACACTCAACTCAGCAAATGGGAATTTTCCCTATTTTTAATAAATCATCATCTTAATCACTATTAATAGACTTTAAATCATTATACCATTTATCTGTTTTTGTAATTGGTATAGGAATATCTAAAACCGTTAATCTTTCTTCATCTTCCATAACACATTTCCCTAAAGATAAAAAACTATTTCCATTATTACCATAACTTCGAAAACCATAAAAAGTTCAATATAATTTTCTATATATCTACATAAAATCTGAGCTATATAAGAAAAAAATCTTCTTAATTCTTCAAACTCCTCACAATCCTCATAATCATCTATTATTTTATAAATATTTGAACAAATTGATAAAAGTCTACTAAAACCTTTCAAGATTTTTTCCCTTTCTAAATTATTAGTTTCTTTTGTCTCCTTAATCTTTTTAGATAAATTTTCAATATAGTAGTCAATCATTTTATTTAATAAAATAGATTGTTATAAATCGATGGACATATTTAGTAAAGTATTAATCTTATAACAAAAAATATGTTATAAGATTGAGATATTAATCACTATCACTATCACTATCACTATTACTATCACTATCACTATCACTATCACTATCACTATCACTATCACTATCACTATCACTATCACTATCTTCTTCATTTTTTATTTTAAACTTACTACAAAATAATTCATAATCATCATAAATGTTTTTCAAACCAGGATAAGGATCAATAAAAATTTGATCATCATCACCATAACAATATTTTACAAACTTAATATATTGATTAAAATTATGAAATTTTTTTTTAAATCTTAATTAAGTAATTAACATCACTACTTTTAATCTCAAAATTACTAACATCATTAAGGTAACCTAATTTTTGAGCTAACACAAATTTTTAAATAAATTTCTTTATTCTATCAACTCTATGATTTTGAAATAATCCACGAGTTGCTTCATTTATATTTTCAACAAAATACTCAAATTCCTTATTAATCCCTGTTATAAAAAGGTATTCATTTTTAAAATCCCTTGCATATTCTGGGATTTTATTAGTTTTTTTAATGCAATTCTGGTAATTCGAAGAGTGACCCAGGATAACCATTTCTATAACTACTATTCTACAGTCGTGTTAGAGTCGTGCTGAAGTTGAGCCACCTTAGAACGGCAGTAGCAGGACGTTTGAAACAGGCTTTATTTTGGCGGATCACTTGAAAAATCGCAAAAATTAGAACCCGCAAAAATTTCGTGCCACACGGTAGCCTGTTCCAGGCGTTCAGATAGTAGAGCACGTCGGTTAGTGGGAAGCGAGTTAAATTAAACACCAGGAAAACGGGAAGGGGGTAACGAGGAGGGCGAGTTAGGGTTAGGGTTCCCTCCCGCTTTCTCTCTCTAGTCTCCCCTCGTTTTTTTTTCTCCTGCGCTCTACTGTCTGAACGCCTGGAACAAGCTAGCCACACAGTAGTCCGTCTGCGAATTAGGGTGCGCAGAAGGTTTAGAATGTCTGCGAAGCACGCAAAATTAGCTTTGTCATGTCTCCTTTCACCGACGGGGTCAAATCAGCCACGCCCAGATTTGTAGTTTAATTTCCAAACTTCGCAAATTGGTCCTCCCGGGATATTCATTCAATCTTTCTCAGTCACCTCGCTTGCTTGTAAACTAGCTTCACATACTATATACACTACGTATAGGCGAACCGAGGTAGAATTCTTATGGTAATCCTGTCATGTCAGAGGTAGCCTCCGATCAGGTGGTCCTTCTTCCCTTTTTTGGGGGGGAGGCGGAAAAAAAACGCGTGATCGAAGGTCATGTCAGGGGCCAGTTTAGCAGTAGCAACCCGCGACAGGAGCCCATAACCGCCTGTGATCTAGTCTGCTACACAGCCGTTTTTATTGT